CCAGATTCCTCACGAGCCACCACGCCTTGCAAAACTGGGTTACTGGCTCGGGTCTCCGGCTCCAGGTCTTCCGCCCTCCCTCTGAGAGAACACTTGCAGTTAGCCATCCTTTGTTCTCGCGCGGGAGCGGGTCACGGAGGGGCAGCCGGGCTGGACTGTCTACGTCCTTCCAGGTGCATCGCTTGGAAGCTGGAGGGAGGACAGGGCGATGGGACAGCGTCGCGGAGACAGAGGAGTGGACCCGGCTCCAGGGTCGGGAGGGAACGAGGAACAGGGTGCGAGTCGACGCTAGCGTTTCAGCCTGGACCAAAGCAACTAGTTAAACCCAATTACGAGTTGGATCCATCAGCCTTCTTTTGTGGCTAGGATGGTTTTCATAAACTCTAGATAAACTCTCTCTTTTTCTTTTAATATTTGTTTGATTTCCTCGCTTTTGTTAGGCAAAAAGCCCTTAGAAGCTGAACGGAGGGAGGTGAGAGGTGTAGACTGAGGCCTGGAGTCCGTCCCCCCTCCTCCAGGTGTCACACTAACTGACCCTGGTGGCCGAGACCTACAGCCCACCACCTGTCCCACACCTGGGCAAGGTTTCAAAGTACCCCTCCTCCTGCTCTTGGGGCTTGAAGAGGAAAAGGGTGGGAGCAAGACCACACCAAAATTTGCTCTAAAGAAAACATTTCCTAGTGATATGGGCATCAGTGATGTTTGACCTGTTTGTCTCAGGAAATGACTTGGACTTTTAAGTTCTCTAGTTCACAAGTTGTTTTTAAACTTTGGATCATCAGAAATCTGCATGGCTGTTTTAGTCTTACCCATATTTTTTTCTGAAGTTTCTCGTGTATTTATTTAAATTTAAAGAAAATCTGCCTGAGATTTGGTTCTTGAAATTTGACAAATGGTAATTTATCTTTCAAAAAAAAATTAGAAGAATCCTAACCCCAGAGGTATTATCTTACAAGTGAAACTTTTATTAAAATGTGTATGCCATCCCAGCCACTTTGCACAGAGAGCCACATTGGACTTATCTCCCTGTTACCTTTATAAACCTTCAGACTATAGAGGAGTCAGTGGCATATATATTCTTTGCCCGTCCAAAATTAAGATGCTGTTGAGAATGACACACTTTTTAAACTTCATGTTACCAAGTAAGAAAAACCACTGTCAGTTAAGGTGTGTCATGCCACTGTACAAAGCACCCTATTGCAGAGATGTTCAGATGTCAGAAAGAAGTGCATGTTTTACAATCTGTGCAATAGAATCTCAGAGCAGGGCTTGTCAGTACTCTTCCCCAAGGATTTTTCACTCCTTCAGAGGATGAAACTGGTGGTATGCAATTCAGGAAGAAGAAAGGAAAATAGTTCGCTAGTGGAGCAGATGGGTTGAAGAAAGTAAGGGTGATGAGGAGCGGAGAAAAGAGAAAACAAAAGCGGGGAAGAGAGAAAGATGTAGGATGGGGAATAGTTCAGAGCCGCTGCAAGTGTTCTCGGGAACCCGCAGGAAAATGAGTCCATTCAGTTTCCCCACAAGCCAGGCTTTTACAAACTGGTACGTGGAGAGTTGTTCTTAAACGCTGTTGTTGTTTTAATTCTGGGGTTTTAGAAAATATATGTAAAATTTGAGTGTGCCTGACCTCCGGGAACTGTACTGGTGAATCAATAAAAATCTGTGAAGGTAATCGTAGATTTCAAATTTTTATTTTTGCTTATATTGAATAACCCAGTCATATTTGTCTCACATTTTGGGAGGCTGTAATGCCAAAAGACATCAAAACCATATGGCAAAGGAAAGCTTATGAACAGGAAGGGCACAGATGCCAGCAGAAGCATGACAGTTACCTTGTTAATTCTCCATTTTAGCCAAAGGAAAGGGGGATAGGAGAAATTGGTGATCTTCAGGAAATACAAGACAGCGAGACAAGTAGCAAACCAAGTGCTCAAGTGGTTGGCCAGTATCCAAATGCCAGTAAGATATATTTTTTCCCCATGGTATCAGAGTTTCCTGATAGAATAGCACTAAAAACAAATTGACAATTATTAGCCACAGTAGACTGGTTAATCAATAAAAATCTTGAAAATGCTCCCTAATAAATAGAAAACTGAGTCGTAGCATTACTTAGCTGTTTCCTTTTTGGACTAAGGAGTGGTAGGCTCTTCCTGCTGGTCAGAGGGGAGTGAAATGGGCCAAATGGGAGCACGAAAAGCCAGGACCAGAATCAGAGGATCCACACAAAGGCCCAGTGGCTGATCCTACCTCAGGGCCCCACCAGAGGCAGTGACTCTGCCTGCAGGACATTTAACAGAATCCTCCAGGAGGAAGCAGAGCCTGGGTCTTCTGGCAGACTGCACCTCCTTGACTGAGCTCCCTCGTCCCAGCACAGTGCTTTGGGCTAGAGAAACTGCCTAGTCCCTACAGAACAAACTGGAATCAGATACATTTATTAAAAGGAAGTCAAGATTTCACTCCACTGTAGCACACTAGCAGGTGACAAAACCGTCCGAGTACAAGTAAGGTGAACAGAAATGGTGTGGAAAAAAAGAAAAAGAAAAGAAAGGAAATACCAACATAGCTTGCAGAAGTCTTACTAAAAAGAAGATATGACTCTTGGGATGGGAGGAAATCCCTTACAATAGCTTTACATCCTACAACAACTTGATGAAAATATAAATTCAATAAAATAAACTCAAAGGTGAGAAAAAATTTGAATTGAGATGAAAAGGGAGATTGCAGACTTATGGGAATGCATTGAAGATCACTGAAACAATTACAGAAGAGATGAGAGGAAAGAACAAAATAGATGCTGAAAATAAAAATATTTTAACAGAGGAAAGGCTTCCTTAACAGAAGAAGCCCAACAAATGCAGATGAAAAAGACCAAGATGAAGTCATTTATAAAGAGGCCAGTGTGGAAGACAGACCAAGCACAGTCAAGTATTAGGATAATTAGGGTTCCCTGATGTAGTGAAACCAACAAACAGGAAAGAGAATATAGATAAAAATAGGATGAAAGACATTTTATTGAAATGAAGAAAAAATGGTCTGTAAGCCAAAAAAGCACGCCATTTTCCAGGAAATTTTCATATGGGAGTACTCAGCACCAAGATAACTTACACAATTTAAATTCAGAGGAAAAGGATTATTTAGGAATCCAAAAAAGAATCAGTGAAGGAGGGAAAAACCAAATCAAGCTAGCCTCAGACTTTTCCAGTACTCTGCTAAATGCCAGAAGACAATGGTTCTGTGCGAAAAGTTCTAAGGGAAAGAAACGTTTTCCTAAGAGGGTATCTCATCCAGTTACAATGTCATTCAAGTTGAAAGTCAACAGGTGGACCTTCTCAAATAGGAAAGAAAAAAAGGAATTCAGCATGTGTGAGCCCCTATGGGAAAAAACTGCTTGGATGACAAAATCCAGCAAATAGCAAATTAAGAGAGGAGTCAAGAGAAAGAACTCTGGTGTGGATACTCTTGATGAAAAGGACTGTTGATGAGTATTTATTTAAATGTAGAATTAATACAAAGCATCTTTGGAAATTGTAGATAGAATAAAATATGATTATTATATCAATCTAGACACCCAAAGAACAATAAGGAAAAAAATAAGGAAGTAGGGGAGGAAGATGGGAGGAAATGTGAGTACATCCTATAGTTCTCATCTTGAAAACATCGATCAATAAATATAGTTTAACAGTTAAAGTGCTGTGAACATATTATGCTCTGACCTCCTGATGTCTTTCATAATCTTTTTTTTTTAACTTTAGAGAGATGTTTTAGGGAATTATTCTTTCTTAAGGAGAAAAAATAATTTAAATGTCAATTTCTTCAGCCTTTGCTTCAGTTTCTTTCCCAAGTAGAGTTAATTTAGACAGAATCACTGTGTGTGTCTGTGTGTGTCTATGCATAGAAAGCTCTCCGGAATTGTGTTCACCTAAGATTAATGATAGAAATATCTGGATGCTGGGATTTTTCCTTTTTTTTATACATGATTTTTAACTTTTTCAATAAGCAGGTAGAAAAATTTTTACCGAAATGAGAAAGATATTTGGAAAATAAATTAGAAACAAAGATGCCAAGATATTAACAGTGGTTGATGCTTGGTGGTAAAAAAATAAAGATGACTGTTTCTTCTTGGTGCTTTTTCTTTTTGGTATCTTTTTGAATTTCCAGGAAAAAAAATATGTAATTGTATTTGTCCTTCTAAATCCATTCACTCATTGACTAGTGAAGATATGGCAGGCATCAGATTGTACTGGATAGAAGAAAAGACACAATTCTGCTCTCTACCAGGAGAGTGGGAGGCAGTGAGTTTTGTGAGGGTTGTCTGTCTGTCTCTCTGTCTGTCTGCCTGGACTTGGAATTTAAAGAATCACTTTGCCCAGGCAGTATCCATTTGAGCTGGGCCTTGAAAATCGGTAGGGTTTGTTTGGGTGTCAGTGGCAAGGATTGCTTCCAGGGAGGGATGGGCATGAGCTCAGCACTGGTGCAGGACAGTAACTGCAGGGAAAACTAGAAAGGCTGATGGCAGCTTTGAATTCAACCTAAGGCCTTGGTGCCTTATGAGGCAACTGTGAGCTACAGGCTGGGCTGGCAGCAGAATCTGCAGGACTCAGAACACGATTAAAATGCAAGACCCATCTGTTTAAAAAGCAGGAAAGAGTACCACTGAAGGTACTAAACTATGAAGACAAGAAAAACTTTTTCCATGGTCTCTCTCAATCTTTTTTTTTTTTTTTTGCTATTTAACGTCATTCTAAGCAAAAAAAAATTTTTTTTTAATTACTAGCACGAATTTTACCATCTGACCTTCTATTGTACAAAGCCAGATCTAAATGCAAATATAAGAGCAATTTAATCCAGACGAGGAGTCAAGGAATTACACAATTGGCATTTCATAGCACATCTTGGGAGCCTTCCTCGAAGTAGCCAGAAGCAACAAACTCAGGTCAGACTCAGGAAAGTAGCAAGGAGGAAGAGAGACTCAGGAAATAGCAAGGAGGAAGGAGGAAGAGGAGGCTCCTTAAAATATTTGAAGAATTCCTTTCTCACCTTGGAGAGTTTCTAACTGCAGCCCCAGCACCCAGCCAGCCCAAGGAGCACTTCCTCATGCTCAGGCCAGTGCAGCTCCCCACAGGTGCCTGGGGCCCCTCTGCCCTGGCAACTCTGGGCACGAATGCGCTTATGCCTGAAGAATGCTGGGAACCCTCTCTTGCTAGCCACCCATCACACTAACCTGGGATGGGCTCTGGGACAGTTAAACCCTAACTCTCCCCTCTCCAAGGACCTACCATCCCAACCCACAGCATGCTGGTGATGTCCATGGGTCTTTAAACCCCTGCACCTGGCCATGCTGTGTACCTGGATCAAGGTTGACCTAGACACTTAGCCCCATCGGACCAGCTAGCCGCCCTCTCAGGGAGGCAGGCCAGGGACAGCTTCCACTCTGCCTGGCCCGCCCTCCCTGCACACCTACCAGGAGGGCATCAGTGCAGTATGGGCCTCTCCCGTGATGTGACCCAGCTGGTATCCCCATGAAAAGAGCATCGGCAGTCAGTGTAGAGTGAGGCCAGGCAGGGCCTGGGACCCCATCCTTCAGGGGAGCAGGGAGCAAGACCCAAGTGTAAACTGATGCTCCAAGCCCCAGTGTGTTCCATTGTCCCATCAGACGTCACTAACAACGCACAAGTTTAAAGAAAAAATGATTAAGAAGTTCAAGAGGACCACCGGAGAGCAGCAAACCAAGCATGGGACCCTTCTGCCTGTTACAGAGATGAGGGTAGCAAGAGCTACGTTTCGGGAAGTCTGATCTGTTTAGAGTCAGGAAGAGTTTAAAAGAGCTTCATTTATAATTCCAGGCAGGATGCCAAAATGGGAAATTAGATTTTCCAGTACCAGGAACCTAGTACCAGACACGTGGTTAGAAGTAGAGTCTGAGTCACCGGGAACAAAGAAGAAGAAGAGGTGTCCCTTGTTCCAGAGCAGGAGAGCGGGACTTCTAGTTGTGTAGTTGTGTGTCTGTATTTCTGAGCTGCTGAAGGATGAGAGGGCTCTGCAGCTGCAAAACAAAGGCAAAAATGTATTGTCATTAGAAAAAAACAAGGCCCAGAGGCCACGGGGCAGATAATCAGGTATAAGGGAGTCACACCCAAGGTGGCATTCTGCAATCTTGGTACGCCCACCTCTAGAAAGTCCACAACCATGCAGGCCCTCTGCCGAGGAGTGATGACAGGAGATGACATCACATATGACAACGACATCTCCGTGGATGTTCTAAAGGGGTACAATATTATGGGATAAGTTGAGGTGCCTGGATATCTTATGGGTGGTAGATGGCAATTCTGACTTGGAATCTTTTGGATTTCTCTAGAAATACCCTGGGTGGGACGTGATAGCATGATAGTCAGGAGGGCTTTTTAATTTGCTTTTAGCTTGAATTCAAATCTGCTACTTTGTGGTCATTTATCATTTTGACTTGGGGCTTGATGCTGCCTCAGTGTTTTGGGGGACAGAAGAACACCCAGAATCTGTAAGGCCCAGTTGATTGGATAGAGACACAAACCCTGAAAGAGAGAAGGAATAAGACCAACTATGGGCTCCTTAAAATGTTGGAAGAATTCTCTTCTCACTTGGAGTGAGAAAGACTTTCTAACTGCCACCCAAGATGCAGACACTAAGAAAGAAAACACCTTGAAGTCTGAAAGCATAAAACTCAGAAGCTTCTGTGTGGTAAAAACAAAAAACAAAGAAACAGCACAGACAAGTCAAAGGACAAGTGACAACGGAAAGGAAAAAAAAAACAGATGTGACTCATATCACAAACAAAGGGCCGGTTTCCCTCATACTTAAAAAGCTCCTTCAAACCAATATGAAAAAAAAAAGTAACTGCTCAGTAGAAAAATGGGCAAAGGTACAAACGGACAGTTAACAAGAAAGGAAATAGCTCAGTAAGAATATGAAAACATGCTCAATCTTACTTGGAATAAGAAAAAGGCAAAATTAATGTTCGTCCAAAGACAATTTTGCATTTATGAATTTGGTTTATAAAAATCCAAGAGCTTGATGATAACCTCTGAAGGTTGTCATTATCATTATTATTCCCCATAAACTTTCCTTTCCCCACATGGGGAGCAGAAATTCCCACACATCACAGGTGACTGTGTAAATTGGTACAGCCACAAGGGCAAGAGTATAGCCATTTCTATCAAAATTACACAGGCATAGCCCCTTTGTGCTAGGTCTCTTCTGTCTGCCCCTGCAGACCCAGTGTCTGCCTTCCGTACCCTTTACTGTGCCTTGGGATCCTGTCTTGTATGGGGACAGCCTGTGACCGGTTGGGATCAGCCAATAGAGAGACCCAAGGAGAGAAGGGAGGAAAGACAGTGAGGGATGTTTACCCTTCCGCCCCCTCCCTGCACAGTCACCTTGGACCGGTGGTACCTGGCTTACATCGTAGCTCCTTATCCAGGATTCTCTTCTTCCAAATTCCAGTATTGACATCTTCTCTCTGCACCTCTAGCCCAGGGTGATAACGGCTCCAGCTGTTGTTAGTTTCAGATACTATACTCTTCCTTATGGTTCGCCTACATCCTGTTGACACATTTGTAAATAGTCCCTTGATTGAAATCTTCCCCAAATCATCCTAACTTGAATGTGCTGTTTCCTGCTGGGACCTTGACTGATACACCCTTTAGCCCACCAATCCTGCTTCTGGGAAGCTTTCTCACACTTGACATGTGCAGAATGACGTATTTCCAAGATAATCCACTGCAGAAACTGTTGAAAGAAACTCAGAATTCCACCACAGGGACTGGTACAAACCATGGTATTTCCATAGAGTAGACTATGCAACTATTTTTTAAAAAAACAGGAAATTCTCTTTGGTGCTGATGCAGAAAGAACTCCCAGATATTTTTAAGTGGAAAAAGAAGAAATTGGACAGGGAATGTATATGCAGTCTCTGTGTAAAAAGAGAAAAAAAAAGGTAATGATATATATATACATTTTTGCTTATGCATGAAGATATTATAAAGGACTCACAAAAGACAAAAATAGTTTTCTGAAAAGAAGCAAGACCCTTCACTACTTACTTTTTGGAATGTTTAAAATTTTGGAGCCAAATGACTATGTTACCTGTTCACAAGTTAAATTTACAATTTCTCCCTGACTAGGTAAGGAATTGGTCCCAGAGCTGAGAAAAGGCTGCTCATGTAAATGGGGTAAATGGTCCAGCTCCCAGAAGGGCAGAGGGAACCTGGAATCAGAAATTTCCTGCTAGTCTTTCGTTGTCTTGTCTTTGCCCCTTACCTTTGCAATTTAATTAGACGCTTTAGAATTTTGATCACCTAATACTGATTTCTTTTCAGATGTAAAAGTAAAGAAAAGTTACATAAAATAGCAAAGATGGTTTTGAGCCAGAATGTCTCAGCAATTGGACCACTTAATTTGTATCCCGTAGGTGAGTATTACTTCTTATCAGTGAAAACAACTTGGTGGCCAGGGGCCCTGTTGGGATGTAGCAAGTTGATTTCACTGCCTGGAGAACCCAGTATCTGCTGCCCAATGTCAAAAGCCAAATGGAACATAGGTAGGAATGCTGTGTTAATGATTTAGATTCACTATGGGTTTTCCCTACTGTTATTTTAGGAAAACAAATAAATAAAAATGACTTAAGGCTCAAAAACAGTGGGGGATATCCTCATTGTAATTTGAAGAGTAATTTCTCTTTATACCGTCATTCCAATCCAGCATGGAATTTATCACTCTACTCCTATATTTGGGGAGGGGAGAGGTCATTAGGTTTATTTATTTATTTATTCTATGTTATTTATTTATATATTTATTTTTAGTGGCGGTTCTGGGGATTGACCCCAGGACCTTGTACAGCTAAGCATGCGCTCTGGCGCTGAGCTATACCCTCCCACTACTCCTATATTTGCAAAGAGGCCAAACCCCTTATCTCCTACCACGTCACAAAACTGAGAAGTCATTACTGAACTTTGGTTTCCACACTTCATTTATTATTGATTTTTTTTTCCCCTGTGTCACTGTGTCATTTGTTCTGTAGTTTATCGGTAAGGGGTCCGTGAGTCGGTCTCTTTTTCCCCAGGGACTGCCCACGCACTGGAGAATGTATAACAGCCTTGGTCTCTACTTACTGAAAATGCCAGTGACCACCCCTCTCACCCCCTGAGTTATGGTGACATCCAGGAAACAAAGGAAAATCCCCAATTCCCATCACCAACAACTTTCCTCCTCCACCAACCTTGGTGAATATCTTGGAAATTTACTAATAAGCAACATGCTTATTCATATTCTGAGAACTGTTCCAGACGGGTGACTGCGTCTCAGGATACCCCTTCAACCAGCCAACCCTCGTGACTAGTGTCAGCTCCTGAACAGATCTTACTTTGGATCTGCTCAGGTCGAAACATCCTTGAACCACGTGCTGCTGATGCCAGCATCAGCTCTCTGAGAACAATTTCCTTGAGTTTTCTTCTTGAGCACGAGAGTCTCAATCCGATATTAATACATGTGTGTAAAAAGAACGCCCAGCTCAGAGCAGCAATCATAAATTGAGCCTGGAGGAATCGTTACTGGTTTTCTAACATGTTTTTCTTCTTCCTAGTGCACATCAGCCTCGTGTTTGGTATTTCATATATTTTACACGGTAAGAGACTTTCTCGGCTTGACAAAAGTTTGTATTAGGACCAGAGTGTCAGTGTGACCGTTCAACCATTTAAAAGTCAAAAATGTGAGAAATGTGATTTCTGATCCCAGATCTGTTTTTGCCCATTTTGTGTGAATCTTTTTTTCTCAAATTCTCTATAAAAGGAGTCAAAATTTTGCCAATTCTGGTTTTCACATTTGTCTCACAAAACTGTTATCAGAAATAAACACTAGAGATCATTTCCCAACCCCTTTAAAGAATATTTAACTCTTAGTACTCTCACTAATAGAGGGAGACATAGACTGTGCCAAACGAAAAACCCAGAAATAATTTCCCTTTAATTTGCATTCTTCCTGGTACCAGATAAGGGAAAACACATTTTTTAAACTAAGTTTCTTGCCTGCATATAAAGCCTCCCACAAAACGTCACTATACATTAACTATGTACCCAGCCTGGCGATGGGCACTTTGGCGGGGGCGCCGGGGAGTGGGGTGACAACTTGGCAACCTGGAACCAAAGGCCCAGGTCCTCATGACAGGAAATTTAGATGGTCTTTGAAACTTTAACCATATAAGGCAGGATTTGACAGGCATAGCTGTAAAGTCTCCTTGGCTGGCTGCCACTTCCGAGCTGTCTAACATTGCATAACCCAACTTCTCAACTTCACAGTCTGTAGAATGGGTCTATTAATAGCACATGCTTCAGCACAGTCTGAGGGTGGGATGCTTCTCAAGGGCCAATCTGGGCACACACATCCCCCCTCCCCTCTGTGGTGGGGAATCAAGGGAGGGAAAGCTCGAGGAGGCTGGGCTGCTGCAGGAGGCCGGCAGGAGGTGTGGAGAGTTGAGTTGAGAGAATGGAATGGCCCAGGATGACACGGATTATTTTGATCCAAAGAGCCTCTGAGAGTCAGTGATGATTGCGTGAGCCCAGATTCTGTTTACACAGTGCTGAGTCCCTGTTTCCTGAGCTTGCCCCCCATGACAATATGTTGCCATTTCTCACTCATATTAGTTCATTTCTTGTGTCCAGTAAAACCATTTCCTTCTGTGTTTCCCAAACCCCAGCACTCATGGGAGGGCTTCTCTGCTGGAAGTTTGGGGTTCCAGATCCCAAGGCACAGTTTGGACCGTGGCTAAGATAGAACACTGGGTTCCAGATTTCAATTTTTTCTTTTCTTTTTTTTTCTCCTGTTGCCTTTAGATTTTTCAAATGAATACTGCACTTTAAAGATGACATTACAAAATTTCCGGTCAGTCTTATCGTGGGAAGTAAGAAACCATTCAGTTGTACCAACTCACTATATGTTATGGTACACCATCATAAGGTTGGTTGGCTATTTCATTTTTCTCTTGCCAAATATATTATCTTTCTATTGTGTGCGGAGTGGGAAAGAGGTGATCTTGCCTGTGAGAGAGCTTCTCTCTCTCTCTGCACTGCCCCATCCCTACCCCTCAATCTCAGTTTTTCATTCAGAGCTTTAAAAGTCCAATGACAAAAGACCCTTCCATTTTTAATGACACTGAATACTTGTAACAACCCAAAGCTATTTTTGACAAGGCTTATGTTTTTAACCAAAGCCAATTTCTACAGGTTAAATTCTCAAAAGCAAAATAATTATTGTGCATGTTGCTCACAATTTATTTCTCTCATTCAGTAAGTCTGGCTGTTTAAAAGTGCTGTGTTTTCTGAGGACAGGGGTCCAGAGGTCTGATGACCGTATTGATGGTTTGTGTTAGCTTTTCTTTACTCAGGGAGGCATACAACAGATAAGAAAGCTGCCTGGCCCAGACTAGGACAGGAGCAGGTCCGAGGTCTGGCTTGGTCACTAACCAGCTGTAACCCTTGGGTGCAGCGCTCGGTCCGTCTGTGTTAATCTTCCTACTTAGGGATTCCTGCTTACGTCTTAGGTTTCTCCATGCGTTAGGCAGTCACATGTACCACCGAGACTTACCTTTCTGAAGCTCAAGAGAGCAGTACCTGTGCTGTCCCTACATAGCACGGGCTTAGGACTGGACCATGTGGTCCTCGGCCAGAGGTTGGGGGAATCTCAGGGAGGGCATTCATGATTGTTCCCTAGGGGCAGGGAGACTGGGACCTCTGCTGTGAATGCCCAATGTTTGCTCATTCATTCCTGCACCAAATATTTACTGAGCACCTACTACATGCCAGGGTTCCAACCATGAACCAAAATCCCCACTCTCTTGGAGCAGAGATTCTGAAAGTAGGTGGACGCATCAATAACCAAAGAGAGAATGGGGCAGGTAGTGGGAAATGGTATGAAGAGAAAGACAGGAAAGAGGGTTCCAGAGAGAGGGGTTGGAGGGCTGGGGGGCAGGGTAAGGTGTTCCATTTGAAAGGTGGTTCAGGCAGACCACTTAACACCAGGGACATTGGAGCAGAGCCCAAAAGGAGTGAGGAAGCGGGGCCTGCAGTCAGTGGATTCTCATCACATAAATGCTAACATTTTCTTCTACCATTTCTTTGCCTTTCAAAGTAAACCACAAAATATGACACTCGTCAAGGACTGTACCAATATCACGAGATCCTTTTGTGACCTAACAGATGTGTGGGGAAACGTGACGGACACATACATCCCCAGAGTGGTGGGATTCAGAGGAGGCACACAACTGGTCAATTGCATGGGCTCTTTCTTCCTGGAAACTGACAGTGAGTTGATCTCTGTTTATTACCTTCATCATCGTCACCAAGATCATCTTTATTGCTTGGCCATGAAGTAGGAAGTTCCGCAGAGGTGTTTTAGACACAGGGCTAGACCTCCTGGGCCTGCTGCCTCCTCGCTGTGTAACCACAGAGTAATTACTTTGTTTCTCTGAGCCTCTGTTTTCTTATCCAAAAAGTGGAATGATAACCTGTACTTTGCAGACGATGACTCAATGCCTGTAGAAGGCAGGCATTCAGGCTGTAGCAGCTGCTACGTTGTGCTTTGTTTCACAGCCAGACAGGAGGTGGGGAACGGGGCTCAGGTGGCCCATGTCTGAGCTGTCACAATTCTTTGGTCCAATGTGCTCCTTAATACTGCAGCCCCTCCCACAAGTCATACCCCAATAGCTCTTGTACGTGTGAACGCCCAAGTGTGTGTGCACGTGGGGTCCAGACTCAGAGAAGACTGCATCCCAAGAGTGGGTCTGCCCTCTCTCTCTTTGCCTGCAACTGGAGGCAGCTCCCTCTGGCACTTGTGTCAACAGCCCCAAAGCAGCTGTCAGTGGCTCTCAGCCAGTCTCCATCACTTCCTCAGTGTCCTGATCTGCAGCCTGTTCCCAAGAGAAAGATTCAGCTTCAGCTTCCTGGTAAAGGCTGTGTGGGCGTGCACTCGCACACGTGCGCTTAGCAACGTGATGACAACTGAAGCCCACTGTAGCAAACCTCGATACTTAGGAGATTCTCTGGAATCGTGGGATTGCATGTGTCCACATAGAAAAGAAAGAAAAGCACAACTTATGGAACATGGTATTCAGACAGTTAAGGAATGTATATTAAAGTAATAATGAGATAGCATTTTTCAAGGCTCAAAATGGTGAATATTTAAGAAATATGCAAATACCCAGATTTAGTGGAAACGCAGGGAGTATACTTTGGCACAGCCTGGTTGAAGGGTACGTGGCAGTAGGTGTGGAAACCTTAACACGTGCCTGCTCTAATCCAGAATCCTCTGTAATTTGTTCTTGAGAAGTAATTATATCCAGATGCCAAGACTGAGTTCCAAGAATACTCATTGATATATAGACCCTGTTCAGAAAAATTAGCGCCAATCTAAGTGTTCAAAAGAGTGAATCAACTAAATCATAGTGCAGCCACTTAGTGGAATAGAATTAGCTGTGAAAAATTATGCTGAAGATCAGGGTGGGTGACTTTCTCTAAAGGGCCAAAGAAGAAACACGTTGAGACTTTGTGGGCCCTATACAATCTCTGTCACATATCCTTCTTCATTTATTTACAACCCTTTCAAATATAAAAAACGATTCTGAACTTGCAGGCTGTGCAAAATCTAACCCATAGGTCATAGTTTGCCATCTCTTGATGTAGATAAACATGCATTAATATGTTTATGAAATAAGTGAAAACATACCAGGCAAAACAATGTGAGTAAGAATGATTTTAATTTTAGTTTAGATATGTGTGTCTGTGAGTTCAGTTTAGTTTATATATGTGTATATATATTTAGACACATACAGCATAGACAAAAGATGGTTAACCACATTCAGGGACAATTGCCTGTCTGTCTGTATGTATTATTGTTATTATTTGAAAAGAAGTTATTTCACTCTTGTGTTTAGAATACCACCTAAAAATTGGGGCAAGTACCAACTTTCATTCCAAAATCTGTCCTCCATTTCTTGTGCTCATGTTAGGCACATCACTTCACTTTTACTGTTCTCAGTTTTTCACCAATAAAAAAATATACGACCCATGCCTCAGTGAGGGCCATAGGCAGTTAAAAAGAAGACAGCGGAAAAGAGGCATGTTTGTATCACGATAATGGCAGTTTTTCTGTTACGCTATTATTGACTGACCCTGCGGTTTGTTTTGTTTTCTAAGCAATGTCTTTGGACCCACCAGAGTTTGAGATTGTCGATTTTACGGACCACATTGACGTGAAAGTGAAATTTCAGTCGGTCACTCCCAAGATACTAGATGGAGAGGAATTACAGTTTTACTTAGCGCACGTCATCGAAGAGCAGTCAGGGGGAGTTGTTAAGAAGGTAAGTGGTCAAAACAGTTCTGAGTTGGCAGGGACTACATTTAGCACTCTTTAAAAAAAATAAAAGACATCTGTAATGATTTGAAGAATTGAAACAGAAGGGTCTGGGCTTCATTGTGGTTTGACTTCAGGAAAGAAGTCTCTGTGGTTCATCCATTGTGGAAATACATGGCGTGTGTGGTGTAGACAGGGGGAACAGCCAGATTCCAGCACGCCAGGGCAAGATCTTCTTTGGAAGGGGTTGGTTTAGCTGAGCTACTCATAAAGAGCATGTCTCTACCTCTCCAGCCCTCATACATGTAAGGGAAGTGGCTCTTTCCAGCGATTCTGTCCCCTCCTGATTTTCCCGAAGGACCTAATTGAGTATCACTAACCTCAAAGATGATCCTGGGATCAGACAGATCCGAATCTTCAATTATGTGTTCTCTCGATCCCTCAGAATGCTGGCGTGAAAACAGACAAACTGTGCTCACAACTGGGCCCTGCTGTAGCGGCAGCTTGTGTCTGCATAGCCCTTGGCTGATTATAAAACCCTTGCAACTGAGACTGGCCCACAAGGTATCAGAGGCAGGGGCAATGCATTTCAGACAGAGGGCGTAGGCCAGAAGCCAAAGGTCCTGAGGCTGGAGTGGGCCCAGTGGGTTTGAGAAACGGCAGAGGGCTGGAATGAAGAATAGAAGGAGGTAAGGTCAGGGAGGTAATAGGGCCAGATTTTGTAGGGCTTTGTGGATCCAAGTCTTCAGGTTGTGATAGAAGCCACTGGAGGACCCAAGGACTTAACAGGGCATCCTGGCTGGTGGGTTAAGAATAAACCATAGGGGCTAAAAGTAGAAGTTGGGAGACCACTTAAGAGACTGTCAGGATGGTAACTACTTCATAGAAAGAGCAAATTCTATCCTTAGTATAACTTTTCCTTTAATATGCACCTGGATTATAATCAACACCCTAAATAGTTGATTAGGAAAAGAGAGCAAAAATAACAGAAAAAAATAAAAGCTTGTGTATCTCGGAGACATTGTCAAGTTTCATTAACTATCCGTAGCCCTGTCGCATCTAATCTGTACTCAGCCCATGAAGCTGCTAACTCTGTTTTAGATTATTATTTCTAAAATAAGAGACCTATGCTTATTAAGATATTGAAAACACTGTGAGAGGAAAACTACAGTTAATAAGCATCTTCTTCATTAAAGAAAATTAGTCTTTAAATTCAAGCAAGAGGGGAAAGAGAAGAGGCTATTGGTATAGTCCAGGTGACAGATGGTGGTGGCTTGGACCACTTAGCAGTAGTGAGAAGTGGTCAAATTCTGCATATATTTTGCAAGTGGAACAGATTGGATGTGCAGTGTGGTGAAGGAGGAGACAAGTGAAGAACCCCAGTCCTTTCAGCATGAGCACCTGGGTAGATGGAGTTGCCATTAATTAAAATAGGGGGGATTATGGACAGAGCAGTTGGATGGCTAGATATCTGTAGCTCAGCTTTGGGCCTGTTCGGTTTGAGGCACCTGTAAGTTATCCAGGGGGAGATGGTGAGTAGGAGTGGATGTACTGAGTCTGGAGTTCAGGGGAGAGCTCCCACCTAGAGAATCGTCCTGTGGAGCCATCGGCTTTTGGGTGTGTATTGAGTGCTTTGAAACCAGGTGAGATCTCCCAGGAGTGGCCCTGCAGAGAGAAGAGCTGTCCAGGGGCAGAGCCCTGGAAGATTCCAAGATGTGGAGATCTGTCAAATGAGGAGGAAATAGCACACAAAACGAAGGAAGACTAACCAGCATGGCAGGAGGAGAACTCTGAGAGTAAAGTCCTGGTTGCTGAGAGAAGAAAGTTCCAGGAGAGTGTCAGATGTGCTATAAATGGGACAAGTTAGAAGAGGACTATGAATTGAGTAGCGAGAAAGGAGTTTTTCTATAAAGGGAAAGAAAGAGATGCTGTGGTCCCTGGAAGGGAACGTGGGGTCAAGGGAGGGACTTTTTAAGACGGGAGAAACGACAGCATGTTGCTTTGCAGAGGGGATATTCCTTTGGGGTGTGGGGAGTGTTGCTGGAGCAATGTCCTGGAGGAGATGAGAGTGGACAGGATCTTCTGAGCACAAGAAGGGGGTTCCTTGGCTCAGAGGAAGAACTATACCTCTGAGTCATGGTTGGGGAGGCAGAGTCCAGGGGCACAGAGGGAGGGAGCTTCCCTTTACCCGGTTCAAGAGGAAGCAAGCACGGCAGACTTAAGGCCACACGGTGACCACACCAAGTATGGGAAACTAGATGCTCTGACCCTCTGCTATCATTTTCCTCTTTCCCTTTGAGGCAAGAGCCCTCTCACCATGACACTGCTTCTGCTTCAGACCCTTTTCTTCCTCATCGCTTGTTTGCATCCTCTTTTAGTTTGTTGGGAGGGGAGGTGGTGGTTAAAAAATGATTCCTCCTCCTTTCGAAAAGAAAGTTGCAAAAAACATTATTCTGGAAGGCTGTATTTGAACTGCTGGAAACCCCAATGTATAAAACTAGTGGTAAGAACGTACTTTGAAAACTACAACACATTATACAAAAGTTATTCTTGGTGAAAGAACCTTCATATAATCTCTTTAATCCCAAAATGGAGCAGAACTGGGTGGGGAAAGAGAGGCAGAATGTCTTAAGGGGAGAGACGGAGGACTGGACTTCAGTCTCAGTTCTGCCACAGACACACTGGTGACCTTGAGGAGTTTCCTTGGCCACTCTGGGCTGCAGATTCCTCATCTGGAGGATGGGAATAATGCCTACTTTTCAGACTCTTTTGATAATCAGATGAGTTAATAAAAGCACTTTCTGAAGTATAAATATGTATCGTTAATGAAATAGGATAATCTTATTATCTTATTTTTGCAAGATTATCTTATTTTAAAAATGACACCATGAAGATTTTCCACACTGGGATTTTTCTTCCTCATTTGTAAAAGGAATTTGCTAGACTAGATTTCATGGTTTAAAAATCTGTGCGTGTGAGTGTGTGTGTACAGGTACATGTAGTATTGTGATAAATTGCTTACCTGGGTGACTCATAAATACTTTTTCTTGCCAAGCCTATGATATTTCTAACTCTGTGTAAGATTTGAAGACAAATCCCCAAAGACTGTCTTAGGCCCTGCCTCTAAATGAAATTCTCACTCAAAGTCCTACTGATTTTCTGCTTATTTTTACAGTATAAACCTGAAGTAAATGGAAACATTACTGAAAATTTCAATTATGTCATCAACAAGTTAATCCCAAACATAAACTACTGTGTATCTGTTTATTTTGAGCCTAAAGATCCGGAAAAAATTAATAGATCTCCCTTAAAATGTACCCTTCTTCAACCTGGACAGGAATCAGGTATGACAATTTTTGAAAAATTCATATTTTACTTTTACCCTGAGGGGAAATGTATTTAGAGGAAAGAATCCGAAAGTTGTAGAGCACTAAAGGTATTTCTTCCAACAAAGGCATAGCACAGAGATGTTTTCTATTGGTCCATCTCTACCATGTGGTAGAGTCACTTTTATGATGCTGTACCATGGGAATGATCAGGTATCTTCCTTTATAAGGTCAGAAATCCTCCTGAAATGGAGACACTTTTATTTCAGGGTGTTAGGATCAAGTCCGGCTCTGGGTGCCCTTAGTTTGGCCATTCTTCGAGCCCAGTGCTGGAGGAGACTGGGTTGCTGGGAGCAAGTGCGTACAGAGGTATCAAGGGTGGAATGATGGATGAGGTGAGGTTCATGGATGTGTCCTGGTTCCAGGGAAGATTGACTATAGCTCATAGAAGAGAGAGAAACTTGCCAGGATGGATGAGACAGTCACTGATGAAGGCTGAAAGTCCTTCTGCTGCCAAGGCCTCAGAATAGTAAACGGTGTGCTCCCTGAACCTTCTTCTTTGGAATGGTTTGCAGTGAGAACAATTAATCGGACTTAGGAACATCCATTGCTGATTATTTTCTTGGGAAGTCACTAATAATTTGCTAGGACAACTCATAGAACTCAGGAAAATGCTATACTTACCATTACCATTTTGTTGTAAAGGAGACGAACAGCTCAATGAAGAGATACATAGTCTGGAAATTTCTGAGTGCAGGAGCTTCTGTCCTCACTGAGCTGGCATACACCACACTCCCCGTACTTCGATATGTTCACTGACCAGAAGCTCCCCAAGCCTGGCTGCCAGTTTTTGTTGGGTTTCATTGCATAGGCATGATTAATTAAATCGCTGGCCAACGGAGATTGATTCAATCTCCAGCCCCTCTCGCTTCTCTAGAGGTCAAGGGTGGGACCAGAAGGTCCAGAAGTTCACCTCATTAACGTAAACTCAGATATGGTCCCCAAAAGATGCTCCTATCACTGAGGAGATCCCAAGGGTTTTTGAAGTTCTGTGCCAAGAGCCAGGGACAAAGGTCAGATTTGATGATGATGGTGAAGATACCATGACCTTATGAACAAACAACTATAAAACAGTTGAATGGAGAAATTATTTCTCCTCTGCTCACAGAATACTTCTCTACTTAAAATGTGTGGAAGTTTTTTTTTCCCACACCAAACAATTCTTCCAATCAGCTCAGTATCCTACAATTTAGTTCAATTCTGAAACTATGTGCCTGGAGATAGCATCGGATCCCACAGGTTAAGGGCTCAGTCCCACAAGACTGGCCTCTCCCCTTCAAAGGCCAGTCACAGGTTCAAGTTGTCACATGGATTCTGACCAACCTACTCTAAATCTGAGATTCCCACAGTCCCCTTCTTGGCCTTGATAATTTGCTAGAATGGCTCGCAGAACTCGAGGAAACAGTTTATTTACTAGATTCTTGGTTTATTATAAAAGGTTACAACTCAGAAACAGCCAAAAGAAAGGAATCCACAGGGCAAGATATGGGGAAGGGGCTTGGACTTCCATGCCCTCTCTGGACACGCCACCCTCCCAGCACCTCCATGTGTTCACCAACTCAGAAGCTTTCCCAACCCCATCATTTAGGATTTTTATGGAGGCTTCATCATGTAGACATGACTGACTCAATCCTTGGCCGTTGGTGATTACTGCAACCTCCAGTCCCTCTCTCCTCCCCAGAGATCAAGGGGTGGAGCTGAAAGTTCCAACCCTCTAAATCACAGAGTTGATTCCCCTGGCAACCAACCCCCATCCTCTGGGGCTTTCCAAAAGTCACCTCATTAACATAAACTCAAGTGAGTTCGAAAAGAGCTTGTTATAAATAACAAAAAAAAATGCTCCTTTCAGTTTCTTGGCCCTTATCACTCAGGAAATTAAATTCTAAGGGTTTCAGAATTGGGAACAAAGGCCAAATATGTATTTCTTGCTAGAAATCACAATATCACATCAATAAAAACTCAGATTAGTAATGTGACATGACAGACGATGGTTTGCGGAAACTCAGTCCTCACTTGAAAAGGGAATGCAAACCTGAACAAAAGCGCAGCTTCTTTAGAAGTTGATGTACTTGCTCTGTGATGATTCAGTTTCTCTCCTGACTTTTCTGTTTCACTCGCTGAGAAATGGCTATACAACAACGTGCTGTCACAGCACTGCATGTTTCCTGGGTGTGAACATTTCATTTGCATACTGTCAGCCTCCATTCTTTTATCATTACCCAAGACAGTTAAAGTACAGGTATGCCTCATTTATTTGGATAAAATATTTCATGTCCCAATTCTCGTCTGAAACTTCAAGAACCAAGTAGTTTCAGATAATGTAGCCCCTTTCACTGTCCCAGCTCACCATGGGAACTGCTCTCAACTAGCCCAAATTCAGGGACCAAGTAGGTTTGGATGGTGGGGTGATTCTTGAAGGATGATGTGGGACCAGAGTTAACTTACTCAGACTCAGCAGTGAACACTGGTATCTTAAAGCAGTACTGATATGAGGGGTATTTAGTCCAGAGATCTGGAGAAATGACTTCCCCTTTGTCAAACTTTAAATTAATTGGTTGGCTTTTTTTCAGCAAAGTCCTGAGGGAATGCTGTGTTAATTCCATTTGACACATATTTAGTGGAGCCAACTCTGTGACAGATTCTCTTCTAGATCGTATCTAGATACGAGATACATCGTGAACAAAATAGATAAAAATTCCTGACCTTATGGAGCTGACATTGCAATAGGGAGACAAAAAAACAAGATTTAACAAGTAAAATATATATGTAAAATGTGCAGTATAGTAAGTGATGGTACGTGCTTTGGAGAAAAATTAAGCAGAAAGTGGGGGAGAGGTGGGGGTGAGGGGGTAGGTAAAAAGGAGAGGGTGGTGGGTCTCTTAAATAGTATGGCATTTTGTTTACATTCCCTAGAAGCCAAGCCTAAAACCTAAATTCTAGTTCAAGTGACTCACTGGCACAGGAGAGGAGGTGGGGCCTCTTGGGTCAGAATCCCATTACATCATTGCTCCTCCTAGGAAGTCACTTTGGCTCACAGAATCCTTTTCAGGAATGTAGATGCTATATGTGTAGGAATTTTGTACTATAAAGGTGCGCCTACATGGCTAAATCTGATTCTAGAGCTGCCATTGATAAGACACTCCTTCCTTCATTGTGGTTGGAAATGAGAGAGGGTTCATGAGTCTTCTGCCATCTAACATTTCACTGAAGTTTCTTTCTAGTCATTCTTTAACCTTCTGAAAGACTTTTAAAATATGTGACCCATCTTCACATTTTTTCTCTTCTGTAGCTATGTTGCCTGAGGCTGTGGTTATAGGATTAATATTAATAAAATTCTTCCTGGAAATTTAAGAGCACCTTACTTATGTAACTATTGATTTCTTCTCAGTCCAGTCAGATTTATGGAAAAAAGCTATTTTTATTGAGAAAATTGAAATCTTCCAGAAGTAAGTTTGACACAAAACTAAAGGAGAACTCATAATAGGACAAAGCAAGTTTTGTAGAGCCCTGATTTTGGGTCCTGGCATGGCCAAAGTCCAGCTTACAAGTGACCTGGTTGTTTTCTTCAGGCAAACTCCACTTCCTGCCTGTCTGCGGTGCATGCTAACTTGTGGCTATTGGGCATTTGAGATGTGGCTCTTGTGACTCAGAAACAGTTTTGTTTTGTTTTTTGTAATTTACATTTAAATGGTCATATGTGGCTAATGCCTACCATATTGGATAGTGCAGTCATAGAGCATAATCATCAACTGGAAAATAATCTTTCACTTTTAAAAACTGAATCTGTCATTTGTATCCATTTTTTAAAAAGTATACTTGGATTACTTTCCATTCCTTTGTATTTAACAATAGTTTTTCCAACTTTTGCTCCCTTGATAAACCCCCCCACCTCCGATAGATCAATGTGCCTTTATTCCCAGCTGCGATTTTTCCTTGAATTTATTTTGAAATAAAGCCATTTAATTTTGCATCAACAGAGTCGTCAGAATCTGCCACAATAGGAGGAATAATTACTCTGTTTTTAATAGTTGCTGTCTTCATAAGCACCATAATGATACTGAAACGGATTGGTTATATATGCTTAAGAAACGACTTCCCCAAAGTTTTGGTATGTCGTTTTTCTTTTTTTTAATTCCTAATTTTTCAGTTTAACTTAAGAAATTTTATTATATGCTTAAATATTTTCACAGAAGAAAATTCCATTTTCTCAAAAGAACAAGGTGTTTTATCACTCTGAGTGGTTCTTTTCCATCCCTATAAGCTATATTTTGCATTTTATGCTTTCTTTTGTCCACATATGATTTTTAATAATCACATAATGTTCCATTGTTATTAATGTATCATTTTTCCCTTAATCATTTCCCCAGCTGTAGGGCCTTTGGAATGATTTCTTTTTCACTTCTTGTCTTTTCTTTTCTTTCTCTGGCCATTTTGAATAATGCAATGAACATTTTTATACAGATTATCTTTTTAGTTTGGATTACTTCAGTGGGATATATACACAAAGTGGATTTATCTTAAATGAAACGTGTGTAATTTATCATGTCAATACAGAGGTGTCCACACTTCTGCAGAGCTCTGCTGACAGTGATTAATCATCTTTACTCCTTTCGTTCATTTGTCATATTGTAACAGTCCCCCTCAGTCGCTCTGATTTGTGTTAATTACTAGTGAAACCTGCCACTTTGTTCGTTTTGGTGCTTTCCCGGTGTTTCCTAAGATACGCTCTTCCTGCTCAGACAGAGCCTCTAACACTCAGCCAAGTCTAGGTATTGATGTGACCTGTTTCTAAAACCTTACGTGTTTTGACTCACTTTTACCCATCATTTCCTTTTCCCTGTTCCATAGCTTTCCTTGTACATTAGTTTTATAATTTCTCATTCAGAAATATCTTATTTTTCTATGTTTGAACTCACTCACCTTACTCTTCTAATTTTTTAACAGCCACAAATAAATATCCCTCCATGGGTGATAAAAGTGTTCTTTCCTTTTTCTTGTTGTTCTTATTTGTTCAGGTCGGGTTGGGGGAGGAGGGTTGGCCAGGACAAGAGAGGGGGTGATTTTGAAGTTTTTATTTACAAGTGGTAAACCTGTTTATTTACAGGTTGAACCTGGCTGGCATCATGAGGTATATAGATGGACCTGTGTTGGGATTTCATCCACCCTGTGATCTCTGTCTTGCAAGAGTGGTTGTTTTATCTCTATCAGTGTAACTTTTATCTTTGCAGTGTCCAGTTGCAGGTTTACTCTCAGCCTTTGCGACTCTTGTCTGTCATGCGTTGCTTTGGCCCTGAGGACTTGTGTAAACCCCACTCCAACTTCTGTTTCTCATGCAGCCTTGAGAGAGAAAGGTCCCTAGCACCACACCCATCCCCTCCTAGATAATCTTCTCCTGAATTACCTAAACTCATTACTAACCCTCCTCTTAGGTCTCCCTGGGTTCCTCCAGTCTTTAAAATGCACCCAAATTATATACCAATTATATTTGTACCTCTTAGTGTGTTAAGCTCAAGTAATGACAGGAGGTGGTGTTACCTTGTGTCTGTCTAATATTTCTCCATTAAAAAGCGTTACTCTGTGTTTAAATAAAAATTCTAGGAATAGTAAAACAGAAGACCTAGGTCTAGTATGTTTGTGTATGTACATTTAATCAAGAATATATGTTTAAAATTTTAAATATTGTCTTTTCTTTTCTTTCTTTCCTTTTTCTCCTCTTTCTTCTCCCTCTTCTTTTTTCAGCAATAAACATGTGTTGTCTATTCACTGTGTGTCCATATGCCATAGGTGCTGGGGATATAAATGTGAATAAAACAAAAAACCATGCCCTTGTGGAGCTTAAAGTCTGAAAAGTGTGAAAAGGATTGACAGGTCAATAAATGTTATCTGTACAGGGGGGATATGAAATTGGATCCCAGCTTCACACAATACACAAACATCAATTTCAGGCATATTAACCACTTAATGTGAAAGGCAAAATTGTTAAGTTTTGGAAGGCAAAATAGGAGATTCTTACTTTAGGGTAAAGAAGATTCAGCAAAAACCATGAATAAAGAAAATTTATACATTTTCTTACATTAAAATTGAGAATTTCTTTCCACTGAATGTCATCATAAAGAAAGTAAAATGTTAAACCACAGACTGTGGGAAAATACATGTAACATAAATAATCAACAAACAATTAGCATCCAGATTAAATAAAGAGCCCCTATGAATCAATAAGTAAAAATATGAACCCAATAGAACAATTCTCCTCAAGGCTGGGTCTGGAGAGAGTGGGGAAGGAGTAGATTTGTCAAATTGGGCAGCCCGAGCAGAATAGAGAGGAGGACGGTGTCAATGATGATTCCAGGTCTGGGAGAGGAATCGTGACCACCCTCCTCATCGTGACCCCATTGTGGCCAGTCTCCTTAGCCCACCTCGCACTGCTGTGTCCTGGAGGTGCTGGAACAGAGCAAGGTCCAGTCTCCCTACTCTTCTCATCTGTGACCCTTTAGGGGTCACCTGCATCTTTAAGGTCTTCCCGTCCAGGGGTCTTGGACCCCAGTGGAATTGGCTCCCTAGAATCTCTCCTCCCCCACAGTTCTCTGACACCCTAAAGAATGTCTTGGCAATCAAGAGTTGAAATCTGTCAAGCCTGAATGGAGAGAGGCCCCTGACATGCAAGAGGCTGCGAGGGGACAGCAGTAGGAGGCAGTGGACCATCGTCTCTGCTGCAGGCAGCCTGCCTATTTTCAAACCCAGCCTCCACCACTTAGTATTCCTGAAGCCCTGGCAGGTTTCTTAGCCTCTCTGCCTCGTTTTTTCATCTGTCAAATGGGGCTAAGAATCGTAAGCCTACTTCATAGAGCAGCTGTGAGGGTAGAATGAATTATAACGTGTAGATGACTAACAGCAGTGCCCTGCAAATAGTAGACACTATGTGACAATAGCTGTTACTACTGCCATCCTCATTGTCACCACCTTCCCCATCACGGGGCAGTTAATTAACCTCATTACATTTTATTATGTCGAAAACACTCAGAATTGACAGGCGCTCTCTCTCTCTTTTTTTTTTTTTTAAGAATTTTTATAAATTGTCAGCCTGGGTCTTTCCTGAGCTGCCTCCGCTGGAAAAAGTGGCTACCGTGGAGATCATTCATGTCAACCGAAAGAAGAAAGTGTGGGATTATAGTTATGATGAAAGTGACAGTGATGACGAAACAGCCCCGCAAGTAAGCGCAGGTGGTTACACCATGCATGGACTCAGGCCCCTGGGGCCCGCCTCCACCTCCTCGGCCACCTTGGAGGACTGCAGTGACCAGGCCACCGAGGAGCTGGACCTGCCTGAGCCTGAGGCTGTCACTGAGGCCGCCATGGCACCAGGGCCCAGCCCCTGGCAGTCAGAATGCACAAGTGGGGCCCACGAGGTCAGTGGGGATCTGCTGCAGGATGCCCTTTCCGAGGAGGGCAGCAGCCCCACTGAGGACTCTGGGGACAGAATTATCTTCAATGTGGATTTGAACTCAGTGCTTGTGAGGGTCCTTGACGACGAGGATGATGACAACTCGGAAGTCACTCCAATGTTATCATCTCTTCCAGAAGAGGCTGTCATGCCAGAGGGTCCCGCTGAAACAGACTTGAGCCTTCTGGTGGCCCGCAGAGAAGGGACACAGCTGCCCTTCCCCAGCCCCTCCGCGGAGTGCCTGTGGCCTGAAGATGCTCCTTCTGATCACAGTGACACTTCTGAGTCAGATGTTGTTGACACTGGGGATGGTTATATAATGAGATGAATGAATCCAGAAATATTTAATTAACTTGGACGAATGCTACCTCCAAGCTTCCCCCTCCTAGAACCCTTGTTCTCCAAGGGAATGAGTAGGAGACTGCAGAGTCACTGTTCTTCCTGATGACATCATCTATGCAAATTCCCAGTAAGGGGAAGGGGAGGTGGGAACCGCACTATCCTGCTATCATTCAGTGCATTGTTTACAAGTTCAAAGCAATTGGCTTTGAAGGGAAAATGCCCTGCCCATCCCCTTTACTGTCATGAATTTATAATGTTTCTGCATCCTGTCCCCCAGAGTAAGGAGCAAGATTTCCTGTGGTTTTCATGGGGTGGTCCAGGGCCCCGTAAGAGTTCTGGGAAATTACTAAATTGGGCCAGAGTGGAGTGGGGGAGAGAAAAGGAAGACACTCAGCAGGGTTCATAGTGGGAGCAGTCAGCACAGGCTCAAGGAAAGAGCAAGAAAGCAGGCAGAAAGAGAGGGAGGCAGGGGGTGCATCTGGAGAGAAAGGAAGGACACACACAAGGAAACAGAAGCACATGCTCTGAGTTGGAAGTAGGGAAGGCCCAGCCACGTCCTGGCCATCTCCCAGATGATATTCTGTCTCCTACGCTCTTGAGAATTTAACTTTCAGCCCCTGGTTCAGCCCTCTTCAGTTTGAGTGAGGAAGACAGACTCACACACATAAATTACTCTAGAGCCAGGCAGATGACTTATAGAGAAAGATTTGCATTAAGGAGAGGGACTAAAATCTCAGCGTCATTTTTTAAGATTTAATTTTGTATAATGGAGGTTGGTAAAAAATAAAACATACTTTTTCATACAAACTTGGTAATGTCTTCAGAGTTGTTTCGTATTGGAGAGGATATATATCCAGCAGATGTGTGGTTCTGCTGGCATCTCCACGTTGCACAAAACTCCCTCTAACTCTGTGCAACGGCCTGTGGGGGCCAAAGGCACGTTCTGCCTCCCTGGGACAGGTATCAGGCAGTGTCTTAACGTCACCCAGTATTTCACCCTGTTCTGAGCTTTCTGATGTCACCACTGCACAAGTTTAAAAAGAGGAAATTGAGCCTTTCTCACCAGTCTTGTGACAGAAACAAATTATTGCCAAATAAATGACTTGGTTTTGTGTTGTTTATCCCCAGTGGGCTGGGGGGAGGTTACGGTAAACACCCTCTCAAGTGGGATTTGCTAATGGAGTGCTTTAAAATCAATTTATTTGCAGGGAGAGGGGATTATAGAGGATGTGCCAGTTCACTGGAAAAAACTTGGTGAACACTGAATGGTGCAAAGAAAAACCACCATCACCCATAAGTCTACCATCCAAATACAACCTCTAGGTTGGCATGGTAGTGTATTTATTTAACTTGCGGGCTCCTTTCAAAGCAAGCATTTAGTGTAATGGGACACTGTGCCTACAGTTTTGCAACCTGTTTTACTATCGGTGTTTTCCACTCACCGGGGAGGAAAGTCCCCTTTCACTTCTGCACCTCCTTGCTCCCCGCCAAGTCTTTGACCATGGCCTCTCCCGCCCG